TTTCGGTTTAAGAATCTGAGAGCATGTTATTGCTCACCAGAACCAGTTGTGGACTTCGCTGATGCTTCAGACAGCTAGGTCAACTCTCCTTTGCCAAAGCGTCCACTGCCACTATCGATCAGTGATTTGAATGTCTGGCTGAACTTGTTGGCCTTGGGCTGGTTCATTTTTTTTCCTCATCCGCTGCGTTTCGTCCCCACGGTGGACGAAGCATGGTAATCCTGCTTCCTCTTTCGGTGGGTCCGTCACAGGGCCGTCTTCGCTCGCCTTTCTTAAGTTCTGTGTGACCTTGTCCTGGCCTTTACTCGCGTAATGGCATAGGACTTTGTAAGCCGCGGGAAGGTCTAGATGCCTGTTGGCGGAGTTGGCATTTGAGTGCCATGCCCCAAACGTCAGTCTTTCCGCTTCTGAGGGGCCTCGGTCATTAGGTGAATAAAAGGCAGAGCAAGACCACATCGAACTTACGAATCGCAAGGAAAGACGGCCCCACGTCTACATGAGGGGCAAGACAGCAAACGAGAAAATAATCCAAGTCAAGTTAGGCGAACGAACGTTTTCGATTAATTCATCATCAGGCAATACAGGGGGGGTAGAGTTAACGAAAGTTTTAGGCAAACCAATCAGTAGTAATAAGGGGGAGGAGGGGATAGAGGTGTAAAGGAATCAAATTGGATCAGATGCTAGTCTTAATTGGGGACCCGAAAAGGGGGGGGGAGGAGGGGAAGGGGTCCGATAATTAGTTAATGTCGCCCCGTGGTCCTCGTCTCGCGTTTTGTCGGGAGGTGTGAGGACGTAAGGCGTCGACTTCTTATGACGGCGTCGGTGGCCTGTGGATGCTTGATGCCGCATGGCCGACAATTTCAGCCAGCCATTCGAATTATTGATCGATCCATGGACCAGACTTAAATCAGTTCTCGTCTCGTCTTGTTACCAGCGTGGGCGATCAATCGATTTGGCGCCGGCGTACAGACCCCTGTGCAGTCACCTCTAGACGTGCGTCACTGGTAATTGATTTGCTTGCACCACCTATAATTGTCGCTTCTTTGTTCTGATGTTTAGCTCCTGTGCGAGTTTGGAAGCTCAGATTAACTGAAAAAACTGTTCCGGTCCTCAACCAGTATTCTCCTTTACTAATTAATTTGAAAACAGGAAAACGGAGCCTGGCTTCAGACTACACTATCGCGCAAGTCACGGCTCCGCCAGATTTTTGGATGATTGCGGGGCGAAGGCTGGGGTGTGTATGGATGAACAGTTACCCAAAACTACAAGCAGTAATTCTGCGAATTTGTCTCCTTTTATCCATTTTTGATGTACTCATTTTAGTTTCTTCCTTTTACTTAACCCATTGGTTGAAGTAAGTTCCCTATGATGTCTCACTATAGATTCTCAAGTACACGTCAGATAGCCATCCTGATTTAAAGAATCTGCAGCAATCCTTCCAGTTGGCCTCTGTTGTTCTTGATGCCTGCAATGAGGCTGTGCGGAATCGCGAGAATGTGGAGCAGTTGTTCCTCCTGCAGGAGCGTGTCATCTTTACCACTGCAGTCCCCGAGATAACCTTCTTCGATCAGATTGCGTATTTAGGATCGCGCTCTCTGATGCTGTCGGGAAAATTGTTTAAGGTTGGTCTATGGTCCCGTCTCACCCGGGACCTGATGCATTTTGACTTTTATTCACATTGGGCGTGTTTTTTTTTCTAATCGGTGTCTAAGTTATTCTATTTTGTCCTCCGCTTCTAGGTCAAATCGGGCAAGGAGCTAATCGTTTTCCTCTTTAACGACATGCTCTTTCTAACCGTGCTGCATAACAGTAAAGAGCCCATCACTCTTCCTCTTCGATCTTCGCCGAAACTAAGAGCCAAACTGAAAGTCTACCGTGAACCCTTCTATTACAATGATGTGAGTCTAGGGTCACCGCGCCCAGAGATTATGTCCACGCTGTGGACGTTGTGCCCTACTTCGTTCCAGCGCTTCGTTTTCTGTTTCCCTCGAATGGCCTGGAAAGCAAAGTCCCGGTATTTGGAAATTCGGAGCCTACACACAACCCACACCGATTGATCTTTTCTTAATCTAGGCCATTCAGACTGTCTGAATACGTTACCCACTAGCTTTGCTGAATTGGTTTAATATTGAACTTTTTTAAGTTAGTACATCTTTCTGGAATGGTTCATGCAGTTCTGGTTTTATCAAGTTTCACGTAGAATATCTGGGGTATGAATGACGTCTCCTTCGGGACCACCTGCATTTCAGGTAGACCTTCGTCCCCTATCATCG